CACCAGCAAACCCTCCCACTCCCCACCAAAAAAAAAAAAAAGAAACAAAAAACAAACAAAAAACAGAGCATGTCGCGACGTCCGACGCACAAAAACAACCACCCACCATGATGGACAAGCAACCCCCAAAAAGGCAACGGCGGGCGGAATTGTGTAATAACTAACAACTTAACCACCCACAGACTGCACGTGCGTAGAGGCAGCCCGCAATCCCCCATACCCCAAACCCCACACCCCACACCCCAGTCGCCGCCACCCGGCCCCTTCGCCGTGGCAGCTTGTTGCCAATCCAAAAGCTAAAGCCAAAGAACCAGCACGACTGCCTTGCCATTTTTCTTTTGCCACTTTGCTTCTTCAACTTATTTACGTCTCCATTACAAATAATTGCGCGTCATATTGGCTCAGCTATACTTAGCTTACGTTTCATCCCCCTGCCACCCATCTGGCGCGACCACCCACCCTTCCCTTTGCTTGCCGTGCCACCATTTCCTTTCCCGCTCCATAAGAAAGCAGCCGCCAACATTTTCTGTTGCCTTGGCGCAAATAAATACGCTTTTCATTTGCTCGACGCGCATTTTTCAAGCACACAGTCACCCTCGAATTCTCCATATCCCCTGCCCTCCCCCCTCATCTACGCTTTAGCCCCATTTCGCCTAGAGAGAAAGAAGACGTCGCTGTCAGCTTCAGCTTCTGCTTCAGCAACGTCAACGTCAACGTCTGCGCCGCTCTGTGTAAGTGTAAGTAGTAAATACGCTTGAGTATTATTAACGTAAATGCAAAATTGCCAATTTCGAGTGTATTTCCTGTCAACAGAAATTTGCCTTCTTCCCACTTCCCGCTTCCCGCTCCCCGCCCCCCACAAGCCCTCTGAGGCATTCGTTCTTTCGCCCACTCACCCATCGCGAAAGGTATTCTCGGTGAAATAAAATTAAAAGCAAAATAGCAAATAATATGAACGAGGAAAATAGCGAAGCATCTGAGAAATTGTGGGCGACGGCGCATTCATACCACTGCCTCCTTCTCTCTGCTTCTTTCTTTACTTTTTTTATCGTGTTTTTTTATTCTTGCTCTATTTGCATTTGCGAGCCCCGTGCGTCCCATCCGCGCCACCGCCGTCTATGCAGCCTCCAAACACCAAACTCCGAACTCCCACTCCGAGCCCCATTCCCCCCCCCCCCTCCCCAACGTTCGCGGCTTTTATTAATATGTCTGGCAATTTCAATTTGACTTTATTGGTAATTTTACATTTGGCCTGAACGCGGAAACGAGAGCGAGAGCTCGCATTGGAGCTTTGGGGCTTAACTAGCGACCCCCAGATGGCTCGATGGTTCGCATTCAAGTGCGACTGAATGAAGGCGACAAGCGGACTCAAAGTGGCTACGAAAAGCGATTGTGGACCTTAAGGCGGATGTGGAAATACTCCAAATGAATATTATATATTGACATCTACTTGTATGTGATTGACTAGTCTCGATCAAATTATTAGCAGTTATTCAAAAGGGGCTTCAACATTATTTCCGAATGCATTTAAATGTACATAACAAAATAATTCTTAACTATAAAAAGCCACAAGCAACGACATTTTGTTTACCCAAATAGACTAGTTTGGAATTTATTTGAATAAAATGTAAGAATAATTCCGCCAGTCGAGGGACATACAAAATGTTTCTCCATAACTGGACAAAACCAATGGGCTATGGGGAATTTCTCTGAATACTAACTATATATATAGTAGCCATAAGCTGTAGAGCGAGTTGATAAAACAAAAGTACCCTATCAGTAGGGTAAGAATGAAAAACAACTCATGCTGCACATTGGAGAAAATATTACGCAACTCAGCAATTTATAGTTGTATAAAGTGTTCAGTAGGGGGGAAATTCCGCATTTTCAGTTCCATTGAAATGCCATAAATTGAACATTTCTTGCTGTAAAGATATACAAGGTATTAGGCCTAAAATATTCAATACCTTAAGCTTTCATTTTGCTTTATCTTTCGCCTACAAGTTGCACCAAAGCTTGAATAAATAATTTTCACCCGCTGATAGCCAAGTTTTCTTGCATTTCCCTCACCTTTTACAAATTGTTCTGAAACTTTCAAATAACTGGCGAGTGCAAGAACAAAGAGTTGCTGGCCTTGCTTATGTAAATATATCCATATATATCTAGTCTTTATCGATCGTTAAATGGACGATAAAGTGACGTTCCAGTTCTTCAATTCCGCCATTTAATAGCACTGGCACTGTGAGTAGAACTCACTTTGTAGCCGGCAAATTGGAAAATTGGCAAATTACCCGACCAGCCCCCACAGCCACAAGATCTTGAATGCCAGTTAATGTAATTCAATAAATACCCAATGGTTTCGATAACATGCACGCTGCCATGGATGGAGATGGACGAGCTCAACAAAAATTGCTTAATTGAACAATTAATAGTCACACAAAAGAGATGGGAAGAATGGAAACGAACTGACTGACCGGCGATGTAGTCAGGATATTAGGCAGCAGGCACAGGCACAGGCATATACATTTCATTCAAAGACCAAAGAAAAATTTCATATCAAATTAATAGAGATATGGGGAGGGGGGCGGGGGGAAACAAAAAACAAACAGGGGACGGGCGGGTGGTCGGTTAGACGAGCCAGCGTGGAAAACTGGGAAGCTGTGTCGTGAATCGAAATGGAAATCATGCGAAAAGGCAACCGCATAGTGTGTGATGGGATGGGGCAGGTCGCTAGGTAGGGGAATAACACAAAAATAATATCGCATGACAGAGAATCAAGCGACTCATGCACCGATTGACTGACCTCACAACTGACCGACGACCAGTCTGAGCCAAACGATGGCCCATCGTGCCACTCATGGGCAGCAAATTAAATTAGTAGCCGCATAGACCGAGTTGACAGACGAACGGACGGACGGACGGACTGACGAAACGACAGACCGACATTGATAGCTGGCAAAAGTGGCCAACCGGTGCCCCCCATCCCGTCCGGCACTCTTGCTCATCCCATCCACCCAACTCACCATTCAGCGCTCGCCAAAGTCTACGAGTGGGCGGGCATTATTATTGCTATTTATAAGTGCGAGTACCGAGCTCGACTGACCGACCGGCACTCAACTGACAAACAGACCGACCGTCTGACAGACCCAATAGCTGACTGACTGACTGACTGACTGACTGACTGTTGGAGTCGGCTCGTGGACTGGTCTAGTCTAGTCTTCTGGCCGGCACTCACTGGACAGCTGTCGGCGTTCGTTGGCCGCGCGGCCAGCTAATTGTTAATTGATGTGTGTCTAATTATGCCGCTAAAGTAGCCAGGCAATAAAAACAACTTACACACATGGACAGAGGCACGGGCAGAGTACAATCGTGCACTTGTGCCTCTTGCTGTGGAGGGAGCGGAGTGGCAGAGAGGCACGGGTAATGGCTCGGGGCAGGTGCTGCTGCGGCCACTGAGAGTCTGACAAGGCTGTCTATATTCGTTAAGTTGCTAAAAGACTCTTGCGTGTGGTCAATTAGTTGAGACACGAAATATTTCAATATTTTTGCATGAACGATCTATTTTAAGATGTTCCAATTAGTCTCGATCGATCGGTTACTCACAACTCCAGCGACAATTCAGGTCTCGGCAGAAATGAAAACTATCAACAAATGGTGTTTGTGTTAAATATTTGTTGACCAACCCAACCCAGACTAGATTAGATTGAAACAGCTTTCTGAAAAATGGCTTCTGCAGGCAATTTCCCTTTTTGAATTGCAGTCGCTTGAACAGTCGCTGACTAAATGCTCCTAAGCCTGGCTTAAAAGCAATTATAGGGCCTTTGCTTTGGTGAGCAATTTCTTCCTCGCAAGTCTTATTCTTACGTCGCCCCCTTTTCGGCATGTAGAGACATTCAAGTTTTAGCGCCCACTTGCTACAAATCAGGGACTAATCATGCACTAATGGGCAGGCCAAGTGCAGTGCAGATTTTGCGGGCACAAAAGATAATTCGCCGACCCCGATGCCGACGCCGGGTCGGGCCGGAAACTAATTTCGCTTATTGAAAAGTGAGACACTCTGTGCTCGGGAATCATAATAGAACGCCCCGTGCGACACGCCTAAGCCGATTTGCGTTTAATTTGAGACCGAAAAGGGCTAAACCACTTAACACCCTAATTGTCAAAACAAAGCGCATACGCATACCCACACGAACACGAACAAGGACATGAACACAAGAACAGACGAGCACACGAGACGAGGGAATGTCGAGGAGTAGGGGCGGCACAAAAGGAGAAATAGTGTGTCAAAAGAAAATATTTTGTAGCAGTTCGTCGGAAGGAGCGAAAGAAAAGCAACAACGACAAAAGCAATAGCAACGGCTACGGCTACGGCAACAACCTAAAGGACGTGCGCTTAACCCTTCGCTGACATTTGAATAAATCTTAGCAACTTGTCAAAATCTGCGCGGTGTTGAATGAAAGGCAAGAGAGCATGGAAAAATTTTGTCAGCTGCATTTGAAACTCCAACTGTCGTTTTTATCGTGTGCGAAAAATCTGCCAACAACAGCAACAGCAGCAACAACAACAACAACAACATGCATTTTTCCTAGCCTTTGTCAATGGCTGGCAAATTCATGCGAAACGGGTCGAAGCAGGAGCAGGAAAATCAGAACGAGACCAGCTCGGGTATCTCTGAATCAGTCCGTCCCCCTGTCCATTTGTCCGCTTGTCCGTCTGCTGTCTGCTGTCTGCTATCTGGTGTCTGTCCATGTGCATGGGACGTGTACAACGCTCGGCTTTGTGGAATCACTCAGACATACATAGGCCGTCATTGTGTGCCATTTAGAGGAAATAGGATTTGCGAAATACTCGTAGCCAGGACCCTGGCGTAGGGGGCGAGAAACATGTGTTTAGCAAGCGCCAGGAATGCGTCACAACAACCTTAAGAATCAAACATTTGACTAACTCTTCCACTCTTTCCACTCTTTCCCCCTTCTCCGCTTTTCAATTTCATTTGCAGAACAAGCGGCCGCACGTGGTCAGGACTATGCCAGCAGCTTAAACAACGCCAGTGGTGATGAGCAATCGCCTAGCAAAGCATCGAACATCGCCTCTGGTGGCACCGCTGCCAGTAGCAGCAACAACAACAACAACAGCAGCATCAACGGTGGCAACAACAACAACAGCAGCGGCAGCGCCTCAACAACGGGCAACAATGGCGGCTCCAGCACGAACAACAACAGCTCGGGAGCCAGCAGCGGCTGTCGGTCGCCCATTGCTGTTGGCGCCTCGTCCTCCGCCTCTGCCTCCGCCATAGCCCATCCAGCACACGCCCAGCAACAGCAACAACAACAGCAGCAGCAGCAGCAGCAACAGCAACAGCACGCCCATCATGCCTCAGCAGCGGCGATGGCAGCCCATCAGCATGCAGCAGCAGCCGCCGCTGCAGCCCATCATCATGCAGCAGCCGCTGCAGCCGCCCATCATGCTCATGCTGCCCACCATGCGGCTCACCACGCCCATCACGCCCATGCGCATCATGCCGAGGCCTTTCTGGGTGCGGCCGGCGCAGCCGCTGCCGCGGCAGCCGCCAATCCCAATGGCCTGTTGGGTCCGCACGGTGGCGATGTGCTCGTGGGGCCGGGTGGTGCGGGGCCCGGTGGTGTGGGTGGCAAAAAGAAGAACAAGCGAAGACACGGACGCACCATCTTCACCAGCAGCCAGCTGGAGGAGCTCGAGAAGGCCTTCAAGGAGGCCCACTATCCGGACGTGAGCGCACGCGAACTCCTCTCCATGAAGACAGGACTGGCCGAGGATCGCATACAGGTAGGTGGACACGTTTCACTGCAGTCTCGGCTGGCACGTACTCAATGTGATTGAGTTCTATGGTCCCCCCCTTCCCCTTAGATGCAATGCTTCCTCCTCAAGATTTATCGCCTGCATTCGAAAGCACTTGGGAAAGTGTTGCCAGTTTTATGGGCTCGTAAATTTCAGTCACTCTCAACCGCTTCCATTTAATGCTGCCGGCTGCCAAATCAAAGGTGGCTTCGATTTACAGCTGCCACGCCACGCCCTGCCCTGCCCTGCCCTGCCCCAACCACCCACAGTCGGTCGTCTTCACACTTGGCAAGTGTTGCCACACTCGTTCCTCATAATGAGGCACACTGATTACATAATTACACACACTCATTCACTCATTCACTCATTCGCACTCACTCGCAACACACTCACACACAATTACGAAAATGAAATACAAAAATGAAGTAAGAAAACGTGGCAAGCGGCACTCGCCGACACTCCAAGAAACAACACAAAAAAAAGTGAAATTAATAATAAAGAAAAGCGTCGCAGAAAAAAATGCAAATTGCAACGCGCGCGCCACCAACGACGATCGCCGCATCCACAGTCATCGACCACATCAGCAGGCATGAGCCATCGATGGACGCCTGTGAGTGGCAACGTCACGACGCTGCCATTAACACTTGCAACACTTGCCAAACACTGCACCAGCAACAACAACAGACTTGCAACTTTCAAGTAAATTTCGGCATTTTGCGGCATGGGCGAAAGGAAAGAGAAAGGAAAAGTAGTCTGCACGTTCCAGCCAGAATCGAATTCAATTAAATAATGAAGAAATGAATCATTGAATTGCTGTTGAGACAGATTAACTCATAAATCTTCAGATTATGTCTCGATTAGGGAAACAATTAGACAAATTAGTCCATTCAGTTAGAAAGTGTGAAGCATTAACGAATCATGTGTATCTTTACAACACACATCGTTCTAATAGTAGAATGATGAAAAGCAATAAGATTTATCCAATACGCATATGCCTCAATTTTGCTCATTTTAAATAATTGACTTTAAATATAGGTAATGGTTTCAATAATTAATATGAGCAATGCAAAACAATATTTTTCCATACACAATTACTGACTTACCTGAAATAGTAACGCTCTTTCCGCTAAGCAGCCTTTACACATCATTGTTCTAAATCTAAATCAGAATTTATGTACTGAGATATACTTAGTATTTCCTTACATCATTTCTATATTCTATATTCTAGGTTCACCTATTTGCTTGAATTCAGTGAAAGATTTAAAAACCTATTATTTGATTAATTTATTTATTTATATTAATGTCAACAAACATTGACTGCCGACACAGGAAAATAATACGTACAATACAAATTATAAAAAGACCTTATGAGCCTAAGTAGGAGAAAAATAGTCAAATATCTAATAAATGCCTCCGCCAAGTGTGGTCAGAGGCGTCAATAGATCTGATAATGTGAGAAGAAAAACTTAACATAGCGAAGCTTAGAAATTTATTAAGAGCTAGTTGCAAATAGGAACAAAGTGAAGAAGAACAAAAAATGGAATCTCAGACTTAATGGGGGAATATCCAATATCATAAGTTATCTTTATTCACAATTTCTATTCCTCATTTGGATTATATGCGTGTACTTGTATAACGCGCCCCCTTTTTGATTTGTACTTTGCGCTGACTCTTCGCCTATCTTAAGTGGCCTGCACACAAATCTTAATCATATTGTAACAGTCCGTCCTCCCCCACACACGCAGACACATACACGGGCTCGACCCAGCCCCAGTCCATTAGCTCTGCCACTTGAGATGCCGCAAGATGGCGCTGGTGCTCCTTCTCCCACTCCCACTCCCACTCGCACTCAGACTCCGACTGTTGATGACAGCGGGAACTTTGCTAATGGCACGCCTACTTAGAAGGCGGAACGAAACTGGAACTGGAGAGGGAGTGCGGGCACATACACATGCACATGCACATGCACATGCACATGCACATGCACATGCACACGCACATGCACATACATATGAAAGTCCAAGTGGCTAAAGGCTGGCCATGCCAATCTGGCATATCGGGCGAGGGGTGCTGTGTGTGTGTGTGTGTGTGTGTGTGCGTGTGTGTGGTTGTAAATTTGCATACAAGTGCGCCTGTGTGTGTTTGAAAATCAAATTAACAAGCACAATTGGCTTAAAAAAAATAAAACGCACAAATAACCCATACATGCATATCTACGTACATACATATATATGTGTACATATAGGCACACACATGCACACACACACTCATGCACTTCAATTAAGTGCAAATATGGCGCAGTCGGCGCACAGCTTGAACAAGAGACGCTCAGAACCAGAACTTCAGAGGCACAGGCAGAGGCAGAGGCACTGGCAGAGACAGAGACAGAGACAGAGGCAAAAGCAGCCTATGTTAGGCAAACGAGAAAGAGGCGGAGAGGCAATCATTAGCAGCACGACAACAATAATAACAACAACAGCACCAACGAATGCATTGCAGGGGGCAGCGAGGCTGAGAAGGCAGCAGAGAAGGCAGCAGCCATGCAAATTCATTCAGACAACTGCAGCGGCAGCAGCAGCCGCAAAAGCAACAGCAGCAGCAACAACAACAACAACAACAACAAAGGAGGCAACAAATCGAAGCCACCATTAAAAGTTTGCTCGACTCTCCGCACTCGCTCTCCTGTTCTTTTTGTTTTTGTTACTGCTGTTGTTCTTGTTTTGCTGCCGTTTTTAATTGCATTCCATTTTGTGTATTATGTGTGTGTGTGTGCCTGAGTGAGTGCATGTGTGTGTGTGTGTGTGTGTATGAGCGTGCGTTGTGCATTTTTGCCCTTGTTTTGTTGTTGTTGCTGTTGTTGTTGTTGCTGCTGTTGTCGCTGTCAGGCAGCTTATTTTTGCACATCGCTGCAAAGAAATATGGCTGGCTGGCTGGCTGGCTGGTTGGCTGGTTGGCTGGTTGGCTGGCTGCCCAACTGGCTGGCAAAACATGTTTTTACACACACTTCCATACACACACGCACACACAGACAAACAAGCATAGGTTTGTTGTAAGCGAGTGGCGGGAGCGCAATTTTTCGGCACTTCAAAACTTCTGCTGTCCAAAAACATTGTAAAAAGACACACGCAAGCGACCAAAATTCCAGACCCCAACTAAGCAAATTTCATTTTGCTATCCAACATCTAGAAGTATTGGCTACAGATTTGGATAAATACCACGGATATATTTCATTATACTTAGTATTCGTAAACAAATCAATTTGCATACGATCTGAATAATATTTATGGAGTCCCATTTGTGACATTCGAAATCAAAGCTTGATAGATCTTACAATTGCGAAAAAGCGAAGCCCAAAAATTGTTTTTACAGAGAAACAAAACCCAATTTCTTATCCAGCTTAGAAGTTTATGTTATATCTTAGAGCTTAGAAGAATGCAGACTTACGTTGTATGAGGTTTTGATCTCCTGAAAGTAATTTCAAGTGTGTCCTGATAAATTTGGCCCTTAATATAACAAGCATTATGGATTTGAACTGGTCAGTGAATAATTGTGTTTAGTATAGTTTCCACTTAAGGACAATTTTTACTTTTTAGTAATAAAGAATATTCCTGCAAAATCCACAAATTTTGCAATTCACATTTGTATTTATATTTGTATTTATATTTGTAGGAATAGGACCCCTCTTTCCTGCTACGATTGCACATAAAAAGCTTTTGAATTGCTGTATTAATTTAAACTTCATTCAGTAATCGAAAAACTCGTTTCGTGGAGTTGGCGGTGCTTTGTAACAACAATTTTAATTGTTCCCACTTTTGAGTTTGATGCCACTTTGTTGTGCCCGGTTCGAAATTGCCTGCTTAGGGTGCTTTGTTTTAAAGAAATCGAAATGCATTAAATTCTTATTCGAAATGCACTCAACCGCATGTTCCAATTGACGTATTGTATCAAAAAATGCAAAAGGAATGCAAAAGGAATTGCATTTTGACAAACACAAAGGAGACCAACAAAGGGGACCAACAGAAATGGAAATATGCACAGGAAATCAGTTGGGACTCTCGAGCATACTTTTGAGCACAATTAGCGAACACATACGATTATCAAGGATATTTTTCTTGTAGAAAGACAGCCAGATATTGAGTGCAAGAACCGAATAGAGCTGAAACTGAACTGGTGAGATCTGAAAATGATAGCTAATTGGTGTTCATGTAACAAACACTGTGAACATCAATAAGAAATCACTTATTAATTCCCATTTATGTATGATTAATAATTCAGACCTACGGGGAAGACCTTTGCTACATTGAAACTCCGTTTTTTGTTCAGATTATAAGTACATTTTGCAATGAATTAATTGTCTAACCTATGACAACAGCCTCTACTAGTAAACGTAGTAATTAACTTCCACGAAGATAGCTTCACTTCACGCTGTACAAGATCGTTAGAACACAATAGAATCAATAGATGATATGATGAATATGCAAGGAAGCCTTTACTTGGTTTCTTGCCCAGCTTTGAACAGCCTTGAACAGTTTACAGTTTTATTTAAGTATTCGTGGAAAGATGAAGCAAAAATATAATGAAGTTATTGTTTTGCAATGCAACTAAACTATTATTTCTGATCTAATTAGTTCTTAATCAGTTAAAAAATAAATGCGAGCTTATGTTTTTTCAAAAATATTTTAGACAGAGACTATACAGACTGATAGGTAGTTATTAAAACTTATCTTTGCTAAGAATATACATACATATTATGAATATATTCAAGGATTTGTGTCAAACAAATTGCTGCCTTATCCTTTATGTCAGTGCCACCAGCCAATAAGTTTTTATTAAAAGTACGAGTGACCTTTAAGCTTTACAAAATACTTGTACAGTCTTCCAATCATTTAAGACTCAAAGTTTACTTTCAAATCGCATTGTTTCAATGGCCGCTATATGACTTACTGATCTGAAATGGCGATCTGTTATCGCCGCTTGGATCATACCTACATACTATATACACATGTGTATTTCTATACCTGTAATATGTGGTCTACAATATGATCTACAAACAATATACATACTCTGAGAGAGATTCAAATTAAGTGGTTCTGGTATAATATTTTGTTATTTATTTCATAATTCGAGCCACAGTTGCTCTCGGTTGTGGATTCTAATCTCATACTCAATAACTTTACCTAGAACTTAGAACCTAGATGTTTATTTTTATTTGAAAACTTATTCTTTTGCATCATTCTTGCATTTCCCGCAAAACTTGTCAGCGCCATGCTCTTCAATGTTCGCGTCATTCCATTGTCGTTTACATTAATTACACACTCTGCACTGCTTATTTTGCACTTCTTGTCTTGATTACTCCCCTCCCACTCCCCCTCCCACCGCCCTTCCCACCATCACACACCCCCTCCCGTTCCTTTGCCAATGTATTATGGCTCCTCCAAATGCCATTTTCCACCGCCAGGCACCGCTTTTGTTGACGCGTCGTGGTCGTGCGTTTTTAATGAGCTGTTAATACTGGAAATATTAAGCAAAAGAGAATAGAGGAGAAGCGAGCTGAGAGCTGAGAGCGAGAGGAAATATGATTATGCATAATTATGTAATTAACATTTAAACAAAAGAGGTTATAAACTGAAACAAAAGCGTTACAAAAACAGCAGCAACAACTACAACAACAACTTCTATTTGCATATCGCGCTGGGGCCTGATGTTATGTTGCGTTGCGTTGCGTTGCGTTGCTGCTATTTTCGCATCATTAAAAAAATGTGCGCGCCACACACTTGTTAGCAATTGTCAACCACCCGCAACAACAAGAACAAACAACAACAACAACAGTAGTGACAACTAGGCGCATTTTAAAAAGTCATTTATCAACGCATTAGCAACACTGATTGAGTTTTGTAGCAACCACCCAAAGCTGCTCTCACCCCTTCCACGCCACGCCACACCACACCACACCACACCACAACCCAACACACCACAGCACAGCACAGCACAGCACTCCACAGAGCCAGCAACATTGTTGCAAGCAGCTTCTTTGTCCTTCAGGAGGTCGTGGTCCGTCCGACAGCTCTGCGGAAGGGGAAGGGGGAGGTGGGGCGTCGATTGTTTGGTGTGTTAAGTGTTGTTAACTCAAGCAGATTTAATTTGCTATGTTTTTCCAGCATGTTGGACGATTTCAAGTGCAACAACAAACAATCCGGCAAACAGACAAACAGGCAAACAACTGTAAATGCAAATGTTGACATCACACCATGGCACATCTGTCTCTCCTTCTCTTTCCCTCCTCCATGTGCCGCGTGCCGCAGAAGTAGAGAGAAGAAAAAAAGTGTAATGGTAATGCGACCGCCGTCGACTTCATTTTTATGGTCCTTGGAGAATTGCGGCACATGTTGCAGTTACGGCGGCAACCCTGGGAAAACTTCCTCCGTCTGTTTGCATCAAAATTATGTTGAACTTTTCACAACAGAAGATTAAGTCGTCCCCGGGGGCCAGAAGGGGACCGAGCCGCACCCACTTTCCAACTTGTCTGTGAAATTGAAAATTGACCGTTTAATGTTATCCTGTCCTGTCCTGTCCTGTTCTGCGCTGTTCTGCCCTACCCTGTCAGCCTGCCAGCCTTGCCAGCCTTGCCAGCCTGCCTTGCCTGCCAACATTTTCACTAATAAGTACTCGAAATCATGCGTGGCTTCGTATCTCTTTGCGTGTGTGTGTGTGTGTGTGTGTGTGTGTGTGTGTGTGGCAAGTGTTGTCTGCCAAATCAGTCGCTCCCCACTCACCGCCCACTACGCTCATTCCCCTTCTTATTGTTGTTGCATTTAATTTAATTAGTTTTGAACGCTTTGCTGCATCTCCGATACAACGAGAGAGAGAGAGAGCGAGAGAGAGAGAGAGAGAGAGAGCAAAGCAAAAGTTTCGCTCCGATTCCCCTCCCATTGTTGCCGTCTAAGTGCAATTATCGCATTTGTCTTAATGAATACTTGGCCCGTTGGCTCCCACCACATGTTATTGATTGTTGGTCAGTGTGTGTGAGTTCGAGAATTATATGCATTTGAATTGGCAGTAGTTGGGAGTGTAAGGAACGGATTAATAAGGACTGGTCTAGATTTATGGGTTTTCCCCTCAAGTGAGAAGATCTTGCCACAATTTCAAGCAAAGCCACATTCGATTCAGACAGGGCTTATCTAAAATGCTGTTTATTTAGTTGCTATAATATTTGAATCATTGAGTAAGCACTTGATATTCGTTCGTTGGCATCCGCGATCAGGCCGGCAATGTTTCAAATATTTGAGGGCACTGAGTGCCATTTGAGAGACTCACGCACATTCGTGGCCCCATGCCTTGAATCGTGGGCTTTCATTCATGCCAAGGCACATCCAGACGAGCAACAGCCGGCCATTATGGGTGTCGACTTCTCAACTGGTCTCTGAATGGATAAAAACAGCCTCAAGAATTCAATAGCCTCGGACATTGTTCGCCATCGTTCTGGTCGTTGGTCCGTTGCCAGCAAACGATACTCAAAATATTTGTACATGCATTGTGTGATTTTTTTGTCTGTCCCCCAAAAAGATTTCAGATTGGCAAAAATAAACCTACATATGTATATGTGTATGTGTATGTGGGGGAATGTGTGTTGGGGTGTGTGGGTGTGTGTGAGTCGGATTCTTGCTAAAGCTAGCTGGCAACTCAGAAGGAGGCAGACAAGCAGACGATTCACAAAAAAAAGGGTAACGATTCAGTTCGTTTTTTATTCCTGGACATTTCCGTTCCTTTTAATTGCTTATTGAATTACATTTACGAGTATGATGAGCAATAAATAGAAAGGAGCAAAAAGCCAACTGTGCAGCCCATTAACCCCTTAAGAGGGCAAGAGCATGCCTTCTGGAGGGGCTTATTAGGGTTTTTTGAGTTGGCTTTTCTGAACTCATGATCCTTTATATACTTAGGAAGGGGAGTAGTAAACTATTTGTGTCCATATCCATCATGAATTTACTATTATTTATTTTTTTATTACAAGTAATTACTATTTTCGCCCTCTTTGTGTTCGTTGCAGGTGTGGTACCAGAACCGGCGAGCCAAGTGGCGCAAGACGGAAAAGTGCTGGGGACATAGCACTAAAATGGCCGAGTATGGGCTTTACGGGGCCATGGTGCGCCATTCGCTGCCCCTGCCCGAGACGATCATCAAGTCGGCCAAGGAGGACGAGTCTGTGGCCCCCTGGCTGCTGGGCATGCACAAGAAGTCGCTCGAGGCCGCCGAGCTGCTGAAGTCGGACGAGAGCGACCGCGAGACCCCGACCTCGGATGACACCAACACCTCCTATTCAGCGGGCAGCACGCACAACTCCCCCATCTCCTCATTTTCCATCTCGCGTCTGCTCTTCGACGCGCCTCCGCCGGCCAATGCGAAGCAGAGCAAGCACGCCGCTGCCGCCGCCCACATAGCTGCCGCCAATGCTGCAGCCGCCGCTGCCGCAGCAGCGCATCATCATCAGCACCACGGCGATGCTGCCGCCGCTGCCGCTGCAGCCATGCATGTGGGAATGGCGGCCCAGCAACAACTGCAGCAACACCATCACCACGGCCATGCCCACCATGCCGCCCACAGCCATGCAGCGGTTGCGGCGGCGGCGGCAGCGCAACAGCACCACCCATACAACCAGCAGCAGCACTTGCACCACCTCCAGCAGCTGCAGCAACAACAACAACAGCAACAGCAGCTGGCGGAGCAGCAGGCTGCGGCAGAACGTCGTCAGCAGCAAGCGGCCGCTGCCGCCGCCGCCGCTGCCCATGCGCAGCATGCGGTTCACATGCACCACCACAGCAGCGCAGCGGGCTATGTGGAGGCTGCCGAGGATCTGCAGCGTCGTGCTGCAGCCGCCTCAGTGGCAGCGGCAGCTGCAGCCGCCGTCGCAGCCGCTGCCAATGCGCGCAACGCTGCCGCTGCGGCAGCTGTGGCGGAGAGCGAGCCCGACACGGAGGACCATGACGAGGAGCACATGGACGAGGACGACGAGCTGGACAAGGATGATGGAGAGATTGATATCTGCGATGACCACGATGAGACGGATGCCCATGAACAGCTACTCCTAAAGGTCAAGCAGGAGCAGGCAGCGGCGTCGGCAGCGGCAGCGGACTGCGCCAGCAGATGAAACATGTACATCGATGTGTTGTTCTAAGCTGTGCAAATCACTCAAACACACACACACACACTCATATTTATGCATACACATGTGTAAAAAGAGAGCAAACAACGAAGCTCCCACTTCCACTCCCGCTCCCGCTCTCAATAATTCGCCCTCCCTCTCCCTCTCCCTCTCCCACTCACAAACACCTACTTCGATATCGATAATGGAGAAGCAGGAGAAGCAACCAAAACCAACTCACCTGCCACCAGCCCTACTCACTGCAGCCCTTCAACCGCGAACGAGGCGATCGTCACGGGGAAGAGGAGAAACTCACCACAGCTACGCAGCCGCTGCGCAACAGCTGAGCAGCCGCGACATTGGCTGTTTTTGCAATTTTTCAACGATTTTTTGTGTAAGCCTAACAAGGAAAAAACAATAAAGAATAATGTTTAATGTATGACATAATATAAATACTATATATATAGTATACACATATATATATATATATATATATATATATATATATATATATATATATATACAGAATCAAACACATTTTTTTTATATACCTAAGGCCCATAAAAATTATATATGTATGTAACTAATTTTTTTTTTGCAATTTGTAAATATTAAATTATTATATAAAACGGAAAACAGAAGAACGAAAATTGAAAACAACTGCAAATTTCGGAAAACAAATTTTAACTCGAAGATTGCAAAAGTACATTTTTAAAATATGCTAAATGTGATTTAATTTAGTTCTCAATTTTATTGCAAAACACAAAAACAAAACTAAAGGCTTTTTATAATTTAAGAACATTTTTTTTTCATAAATTTAAATACGTTTTTAAGCATGTATCCTTTTTTTTTTCCCCTTCCCCCTAAATATATTTAAACAAATATTGTCACACTTTCAAATTACTTGAGACCAGTGTAAAAATGTACATAGCGCCATCTTTTGGCCGCCGCACTCATCCTCAACTTTATAAACAAAAACAATTGCAAGCAATTAACACGAAATTGAACCACAGACAAATGGCACTACGACGAACTAGTTCATAGGCAAATGCAACAAAAAGAAAAAGAACAGCAACCACAAAGAGAGCACGAACCGAATGTTGCACAAAGGGGCTTCCCCCACTCCACTTTTTTTTCCAATCAAATCATGAGTAAATGAATTTAAAGCAAAAACTTTGTGACACTGCAGAAGAAAAAACAAAAAAAAAACAGCAGCAACAACAAGAAAAGAATCACAGAAATATATAAATCGTGTAATTTATGAAAATCTATATGCATACACATACAATGAAGAATTAGACGAAATAAATTGAGATATATATTAAAAAATAACATCCAGTCTATGTTCTACATGCGCTCAAGTTGCGAAAAAAAATATTGCTGTCCACGAAATTACAGCTGAGCCGCGTCTTTCCGGACCTCCATAAATAATCCGGATGGCTTGCCTCTAACTTTTTAAACAGCAAGCCAGCTTTGTAGTCCCATCTGTTTTCAGAGACGTATGGAACAATTTACGTAAACCTCACGATGATAAATACTGTCATCATCAGTTACTTAAAATCGCTTGCTTCGAAACACTATCATCGCTGGAATAATTTTGATCCGGACTTTCTCTTGCTCGTGACCAATTGTTACTACCTCTTTGCATAATTCTTTGCCCCGACCCAAACAAGAGTTTCAATTACACCTAATTCTGCTTTTGCACGGAAGATTGGTTCCAGACAAAAATAGGTGATTGGTTCCTTATCTCTAAAGAAATATAAGCAATTTTTAATGTTTAAACCGTGGTATATCAAAATCGTGTAAAAAAAGACCGTGTAAAAACCGAATTAGGTGCATTTCTGTTGTGTTATTTTGAATCGTGATAAATGGAATAAAGTCGTGGAATAAAGTCGTGTAACTTGAAAATATTTCATTTCAAAAGACCGTGTAAAAGCCGAATTAGATGTATGTATATTTTTTCTATACTAACATGTTTTGTTAGCTCATTCGCGTTATTAAAATGAATTATTGAAATATACATATATATATATATATATATATATATATATATATATATATATATATATATATATATATATATATATATATATATATATATATATATATATATTTTCAACTTAAATGTTTTTATAACTTAAATGAAACTTATAGCTAAATACAAATAGAACTAAACTAGGTGTTCAGTCTTAATTACAATTTTACATTCTTAATTTATATAAATCTGTTGGCTAGGTCTGCGGGCGGGATTTGACAGCGATTCCGTATGCCTGAAAGCCACATCAGCAGGATTTGTATACGGCGACCTTGTTTCTGGGTGCCAGTTTTTTGCTGGTTAGGAGCCATCCCATCTTATTGACTCTGTCACTTAGTGGTGTATCTATATGGATGGTCTAACGGCCCCAAAGAAAATATTGACTCACCCTGAATGAGATAAAACCACTCGTTCCCACTCACATATCTGAAGGCAAGCAGGGGATTACAGCAGATTATAAATCCAAAATCGAATAGAGAAGCCACAATTCTTGACGTATTTCCTATTATATTTGGCTTAAATAAATAAATAAAGTGAAAATTAATTAACATCTGGTTGGTTTCGCGACTAGAAATTTTGTAATCTTTTTAAAAATATTTAATATTTAAAAATCAGCTCAGGTGGAAAAACTATACATATAGTTCGTTGTATCGCCGAATTTGAAGGAATTTTCCAATCGAGTTCGTTGCTTAAGTTTTTTTTTTTAAATCAAACGAGTGACGAGTGGCAAGTATTTTGAAAGCGCAACAGCAGTAGCTGGTATAAGAGTTTACAGCGCCACCTTGCGGTCGTTATAGCAGTTGCGTTCCTAGCGTGGATACAAACCACATGCAAAGCATGCCTACATTACACATTGCTTTAATTTGGTTGCATACGTATAGGCACTAGATGGCGCCACAATGCCTTGAAATATTACATCTAAAAATAGCATTCTTCCTCCGTTTCATTTTATAATTAACGCTTCAATGACAAACAATTAAAAAAATAATAATAAGTGAATTTAAAAATAAATGTAATTTTGTAAAATAAATACAAACTATAGCTGAACTGCTGCTTAGAAGTTCGGGTAAGGACAGCAAAAACAACACTTCATGTCGTGCTTAAATCGTCGTTTTGTTTTCTCCACGAGAAGCGTTGTTGTAGTCTCGCGGGTAGAGATACGCGATTCATTGTGCTTTTGGTGTTGTGTGTAGAGTTCGTTGCGAGACGCGGGTCGGGGTTCGATTCTCGGTGTCGGTCTCGGGTCCAACCCCCCCGCACTCCATTTCTCTTCTTCTCCTCCGTCTCTCCCCCTCCACCATTCTTTATCATTCATTAATGCGAGCAAAGTGATTTTCATGAATGTGTAAGGGGGGAGGGATAGGGGAAAAAACCAATCAGACTTTTATTTATAAAAACCCCTGCCTTATATCCGCCACACGTTGGTTTTGACAATATAAGCAATCCAGACGTGCCAAGGCTTAGGGGAGATTAAAATTTCTCTGAAGGAAGCTGAGTAAGTCGTCGAATCTAAAAATTCTAGACACTCAGTGCCAATCGAGATGAGAAACAAATATTCAACTTTTTACTATTTTTGCATAACTCTGAAACTAATTCTAATCTTTCTCGGTTGATGGTTAAAATTTAAGGGATTATGGGCGGTTGGAAGAAAATTGATTTATGTATCGATTTTAATATTTAAGTACCCTTAAATATGTAATACTACTATAAATATCCGCCTTATATACTAATTATGCTTAGGGAGCTATAGACATTATATGTTTAGGTATTTGGTTTATTCAATAATTATCGCATTGCTTGCTCCAAGAACCAGGCTGTTTGTTCACTTACGGGAAAATATTAACTTAGGCGATCGTCTAATTCGAAAATCTCCATCAACAAACAACCTTTCATTCGAAATACAAGTATATATCATGTATGGCAACAATAATTTTCTTAAAAGAAACTTGTTCCTTATAAACAATAGGTCCTCGCCATAAATCGTGAATTCCGCTTTCATAGCCTTATAAGAAAACAAAGGTATAATTTCATTCCGTTGATACAGATTACATTAAAAATATAGAGTATGTACGATTCACAACCAAATAGACCTTAACTTAACTTAAATAGTAAGTAGAGGAGAAAAAAACTTAATATAAATATATGTATGTATATAAGTATAATTAAATAACAGATGATTCTTCCTGATCGTGCAAACTTTCTCCGAAAGGTAGTCGTTTCGGCTCTTTATTAGTGCCCCTCTATTTGCAAGCGACTTTCCCTCTATGTTCGTAATTCTACGCATAGTTGCGCATGCAGATGCTTGGTTTGGTTCTAAATGTGTCTCTATAAGTCGCTTAGGAGCTTGGCAATGTTTCGTTGGAACGTACTATCTGATGTATATATACATCATATATATATATATATATATATACATCAGCAGTTGAAAATATTGGAGTACTTTTTGCTTCCAAATTGAACTTCCATCGTCACATTGCAACTGCAGTAGAGATTGATAATAATAAACTTCTATAAACTTCTATACACTTCCTTAATACGTCCTGGGATACTGGGATACTGTTGCTGCGACTGCGACTGCGACTCTAACTCTGATTATTAATTATTGACCTTTATTTATTTATTTTTTATTTGTTTATTAATTCATAGTACGTCAAGAAGATTTCTTATAAATTAATGTTCTAGTCACTCATGTACTTACACAGGTGCATGAACTTATTCTAGCAGGATTTTTGCTTGGAAATCTTCCAACGCTAACAGGCCTTGGAGTTGTCCCTGATGTCGTTTCTCTGCAAAAGCAGTTTATTTATGGCGAAGTAGGCTTTGGAATAGTTTTCCATTTACATTGTCTGACAATAATCTTTCTTCCCTACCTCTCTCTCTCTTTCTCTTTCTCTTTACAATTCAAAACCCCATCTCTATAACCAGCTCCGGAAAATGTCTGACTACACCCAGCTTGCTGGACTGGCCATTTAATGTTCCCCCAACGAGCTAGAGACGTAGGTTTTTCTGCTCAGGCAGCAGTCTACTATAATTAGCTATTAATTAGAATTCCGCTTGCCTCCTTCTACTGCCTTTCTCTAATTTAATTAGCTTTTACGTTTTTGTTTGTTGGGGCTGTTAACTCTGTCTCTGACAAGATCTGATGGCTGGTTACATACTCGTAACTGTTTGCGATTCCCTCTTTCTTTTGCGGGGTGTTAAATAAATGAATAAATAAAATAATAATTGGCGGCTGATGGAAGTGATTTCCTTTCCGTTTTCCTCCCCTGCCGCACAACCTGGCTATGTATTTTAGACTGATTATTTGTGTCATAATTTGCGATATTTAACAACCTTGAAATGT